CGGGCCGGGACATGGAGCTCCCGCCCGATTTCAAAGCTATGGAACGCCCCTGCCTCTCTGGGGAGGTGAATGCCCCAAGGCCTTTTAAAATCCTACTTGGCATCTGTCTGGCTCCTTAAGCCTTTTAGACCCAGGACCCCTGGGATTTAGTCCCAGCTTTGCTACTGACGTGCTTGGACAGTCACTTCTCAATATGTCTCCGGTTCTCCGTCTGTCTTAGCTATGTAGGCGTCTGAGGCAGGACTGTGTCTAACTCTCTTATGTGCACAGTGGGGCCTTCCAGGAATACAGGTGGAACCTCTGTGGTCTGGGACTCTAGTCTGGCAACATCCGTGGTCCAGCAAGACCATGGACGTTGCTGGACGGAAGAGTCCGAGCGGCAGCCAGGAACCCAAGCACCACAGGCTGCTTGGGTGGAGTGGAGCTGGCCAGCAGGTCCAGCAGGACCCACAGGGCAGCAGAGTCCACAGCCAGCGGGGCAGGGAAGTTGGTGGGGGGAAGAGGGGTCTCCCGGGGCCAGGGCGCCGACAGGACTGCCTGGGCCGCTGGAGCTCGCGAGGCAGCAGAGCCTGCAGCCAGCAGGGCTGTGAGGCTGGGAGCTCCAGCAGGGCTGCCGCAGCTCCCAAAACCAGGAGAGGAACCCAGGTGTCTGGGGAGAGGAGCCCAACAGAGAGGCTGGTGTCCTCCTCCTCCCAAACCTCCCCTGGTCCGGCAAATTCCCGTGTCCGGGACCGGTCAGGTATATTAATAATTGCCAAGAGGGAAGGCTCAGGACTGTGCCCAAAGCACATGAGAGAGGCTGGGTTTGAAAAACAAACGTTTATTTCGTTAAAAAATAGGCGCATCTCTCGTTACAAAATACTGTCGAATGGCTCTGCGAGCTCGTTACAAAACCATGCGCGGCGAAACGCGTCGCTTTCACTTCTGGTTACCACAGATCCTGGAATTAAATACACACACGCACACACCCCAACGCCTTGTGCTCCCCCAGCCAGGGGCATGAATCTCAGTGTCCGGGTTTCCAGAGCTCGGGGGCTCACGGCCACAGTACAACCAGCTGTGCCTGCCACCCCTCTGCACCAATGGCCCCGCACCCTTAAAAGCCAGGCCCGAATTTGGTCCATCAAATGGAAGCCTCTTGTAGCAAAGTCTTTTTAAAAAAAAAACCTGAACAGAACAACTTCACTCTCAGCAAAGGTTTCACATTTCAAGGAGAATTGCTCAGTGTGGCACAGTGAAATGGGGCCTTTCGTCTCTCGCTATATAGCAGAGGTTGTTGTCTGTGGGTTCCAGCTTTTCTAATGGAGAGGTTCTCACGCAAACACTCGTTCAAGACGTTAATCTTAAGAGACTGCCCCCAAAATATCCCCCCGGTAGGGTTCGGTTCTGCTCTCCTGCTTTGTCAGACGCCATCTCGGGTAAGCGCCCCCATTTTTTGTCAGCGGTTGTCCGCGCTGATTTTCAACGTGCAAAGATTCTGAAATGTGGATCAACCACTACTTCCCCTTGTTCCAGGGCTCTGCCTGTGGCAGGACAATCTCGGAGGCTCTGTGAAGTCTCTACAAGGCGTGCGACCTGATAACTTGCCTTGTGCATTGAAAACAGCCACAGCCAGGTTATAGCACGTCTACTAAAAAACCCAAGCAAAATATAATTTTCATAAGGGGACACTGGGGATAGGCCCTGCCTATAAAGCACATGTGCTGGATCAATTCCAGAAACCACTTGCGTTGTGATTTTTTTCAGATCAGGTCCTCCCATCCCCCAAAGAATGTCCTGATTGAAGTCAATGAAGGTTGGTTTTCCGCCGGGAATTTGAGATACGGCTGGATAACAGATGGCTTGTGTGCAGAATGTTACAGCTGGGACAGAGTCTCGTAAGTCTCTGCCCATGCCAGGCAAAATGCGTCTCATGGAGCGTGGAACAGGCCCTGAGCGGAGACGGGGAAAGCCAAGGTTAATTCTCGCTCATGGAGGTTAAAACGGTTCTTTCCATACGCTGTAGCACGTGATCGAAGGCAGCGATGGGCAGCCTAGGCCGGTGCGTGCGCCACACAAGGGCCTCCATCTCTGTGGGCTGCAAGACTGTCGTAACCAAGCCAGTCTCCTGGGCGAGGGCAGGTTTGCTCACTGCGCTTGCGTCTCTAGAATCTGCAGGGTGGGCCCACTGAACCGTAGCAGCGCTTGGTCTGGATGCTGAGGGAGCACACGACGCACAGTCAGCGCTGCGTGCAGTCAGCATGCACCTCACTTCAGGTGCTCCTGCTTTCTGTGCGCGTCACATCGGTAGGAAAAAACCCCACGCGGGCGGAAACCAGCAGAATCGGGCAACCCTGCGCATGGGCCACGCAGACCCCTGATGGGCCCTGTCCTCTCCCTACGCTGCTGATTTGGAAACTAGAGTGAGTCCTACCCTCAAATGAAGCCGGAATGACCCATTCCAGAAACAGCCACCTAAGCTGGAACAAGGAAAAGGCCCTGCTAGAACAGCCTTTGCCAGTTAAATCTGGTCTGGTCTGAACAGCCAGCTCCATTTCAAACTAGGCTGAGGAACGTACCATGGGGAGCAATGTCAGGATGGACCTGCATTCGGAGAGCTCCTCCTCTGTCCAAGCGCTTGCTCTGAGCCGGGCTGGCCTGCCCCCTTGCAGTAGGGAACAGCCTCTACAGTACCTAGCTATGCTCCCCCACCCCCGCAAAGCCTTGATCCAGCCCCATTAGCAGAGCAGCCATGGGCTATTACTGCACCATCAGCACCCAGAGCCTTCTCCTACCTTCTCCAAGGAGGCCCGATTGCTTGTGTGACCCTCGGCCCCCAAGCCCCAGGGCATATGCACACTTTTGCCCAGAGAAGGACCATTGGAGGCTGGTGAAGCATTTGCTCACAGATTTAAAAGTGCACAAACAGTGGGAACAGCTTTAAAAAAAACAATAAATTACATGTACAAAATGGAATGCCCTAAGGATTATGTTGAAATAGACAAACACACAACACTCTCTCTCCCCAAAACCTGACGAAAGAGAGTGATTTAGCCACTCACCAGCTACCACAAAGAGAAATATTCCATTACAAATATCAACATGCAAACAGGCCCTTCTTGATATAAAGCTTAAACCCTAAAACTAAGTAAGCAGAAAGATCATGTGGTTTTAAAGGGACAGTGTCCTATTATGGCTCAAAGTTTTTTTTTTCCCCCCTGTCAGAGGGGATTACAAACCTAGATAACAATCCTGAATTCAGATGATTGGCAGACAGGCAGACAGATATTATGGGGGCGAACAGACAGACAGATGGACAGAAAGACTGACTCCTATACCCATGCAAAAACCTTACTGATGTCACGAGAGTAGCTGAAATGTTTCCATTTGAGTTTTTTATTCCAACGGGGGAAAAAAATCCCCCTTCTACCCAAACTGGCCATTTTAGCATGGGTTGTTTTTGTGGTAAATTTGCCAACTTTTTAACCATGATTTTTGTTTGAAATGTTTCAGCGATCGATCCTGCCAGCCTTTGCTCTCTTTTTCCCCTTCCTCCTTCGCCTTTTCAGTGGCAAAACAGGAAGGAGGAGGAGGAAAGGGGAAGCACCAAAACCAGAAATATTTCTGGTTGCAGATTTTTTTCCAAAGTGAAAAATGTAGAAACCCTTCACCGAAAATGGAGAGAAAAGGAAGAGTTCGGTGACGTGTCCTTACAGACTTTCCTACCAGCTCTTGTGGGGGCACCCTATTGGATCCGATTGTAGGTTTGGATCTTCATCTCCATGGACACGGAGAGAGGCGCAGTGCACAATCAATGCCGATAAAAACAAGACTGACACAGAAACTGAGGCAGCATTGAACACACCTGACCCAGCAGCACGGGGCTAGTGCAGGCCAGTCAGTGCCAGGACCTAACCTTGTGGCTGATCTGCAGAAGGTGATGACTTGCTATGTCTTCTCTCAGGCCACGTTTAGACTAAAAGCTTCTTTCGGAAGACACTTTCCAGGAGAGATCTTCCGAAAGAGAGCATCCATGCTGCAAAAGTGCATTGAAAAAACGATCTGCTTTTTCGACAGATAGCATCCACACTGAATGGATGCTCTCTCACATTTCAGCTGTGATTACTATGGATGAGTGGCCACCAGGGCCCCTGTGCTTTTCCCTCTTTCCTCTTCTTTTGAAAGAACTCCCTCTTCCCTGTCCACACACGCCTTTTTCCAAAAGAGCTCTTTCGGAAAAAGGCTTCTACCTCGTAGAAAGAGGTTTACCAATGTCAGAAAAACTTCTGCATTCTTTCGATTTTTTTCCGAAAGAACATGACTGCAATGTGGACATAAGTGAAGTTTTTTCGAAAAAAATGGCTGTTTTTTCAGAAAAAACTTTGCCATGTAGACATACCCTCAGATTCAAGAGGAAGCAAGGGGGCTTGGTGCTTGTCAGGATCAGTCTTTCGCAACAATGAAACTGACCGGTTGTGTTTGATTTTCTCCAGCTGAGCCATCAGCAACCCAGGAAACAGCAGAGATGGTGGAAAATATCAAAGAAGTTGCTACAAACTGCTTGCATGGGAATTGTCTAAGCGGCTGGGACGGGCACTTCTTACTTGGACACTGGTCGCGTAACCCTCTGCTTGCTGCTGCCCGCAGACTGATCCTTCCTGCGTGCCTTAGGGGGTGCAGCTGAGAAAGTCCATGGACACGCGATCACAGCTTTGGAGCCGGTCAGACAGGGCCGGATTAGCCCCAGGGCCGGTGAAGATGGCGCCAAGGGCTCGCCCTGATGGGAACGTCCTATGTTGCGTCCCTTCGTCGCCCAAGCTGTGAATTGGATCAGAGGGGGAGCGCCCTGCCTGGACAAGCAGGGGCCAGGAGGAGAGAGAAGAGGAGAAGGTGAACGATCCTCTTGAATTGCCAGCTAAGCGGAGTTCCAGACTCCAGAAGCAAAGCCCTTGCGATTCTCACGTCCCCTCCCACGCCAGCGTCACTCTGGCAATAACACCTCGGCGCAAACAGGGAGAAAACCAATTCCTCATAACCACCTGAGCCTCCGCCATTCACCTCCGCAGTGAACGTAGAATAGAGACAGGTCTCCTGTCCCCCACAAGCACTTTGAGGTAACCTACTGCCACCCTTACTGTGACAGGGCCCACACAAAACAGGAGCAATTCTTGAAAAGGCTCAGCTTGTAAACAGAGTTGCCCCAGCCAGGCTGTGCCCCAGTAGCCCTGTGATGTGTTGTATTGGGGCGGGGCTGGGGGCAAGGCCCAGGTGGGAATTTCTGCAAGGGGTAAGGGGTGGGACCTCACAGTGAGATGGTAAGTCATTGGCCAGTGTCCGTGTCCAAGCTGGCCAATGGGAAGAAGGGGAAGTTAAAACGTTACTGAAAACTCGAGCGCTCTCTAGGGACGAGGCCGGGGGATTCTAAAGTGCGGGTCTCAGGCCCCTGGGAGGCCAGAGCAGCTCTGCCCAGTCCCGTGTCCCAAGGACTGTCACCGTTTCCCTTCATCTTCAAATCGTTCCTTCGAGCAAAGCAGCACCAACCGAAAGCTACTGGCCAAGCGGAGAGGGGCCGGCGAGACCCCCAGTGCAACGGCAGCCCCCAAGCAGGAGAGAGGCTTAAGGCAACTGGGCCATGCAGGCTGGGGGGGCTCTGGAGAAGAGGGGAGAGGTGACTCTCCCAGCGCAGACTCCAGCGCATCACGGGCTCCTCAGGCGCTGGAGGGCGGCTCTCCACCCCCCGGAAGGGGCGGGAAGCTGAGTCATTCTTTGGCAAATCAGTTCCCCAGACGTTTGCGGGAAGTTCATCTCCAGATGTTCTGAGAGGCTCAGCCTGCTGGCTCAGGGGGTCCCCTCCAGAGCCCAGGGGAGCTGCCCCCAGCTCCTGTCAGAAGAGGCAGGATCGCCTCAGGCTCCTGGCCTTGCTCAGTTCGGAGGTCAGCGACCTGTTCATTTGCTTGGTGGTGAACTTCACGCTCTTGGCGGCTTCCACGGCCCGGCTCAGGGACCAGTTGAGGTCCTCCAGGCGGTCAATGCCGAGCATCAGCGAGTGTCGGCGGTGATGGGCTTGCTGCCGCGTGGCCCTGGGCTTCAGCTCTGCCACTGAGTACCCGCTGGAGTAGTGGGGGGGCAGGCCGGCCGGGTCGGGGACTGAGGTAGGTGCGGGTGGAGCACAGTAGCTGCAAAGTAAGCAAGGAGAACATGTCAGCCCATGGCCCTGAGCGCCTGGGGGTCTGTTAATCCTACCGCAATCCACCTCATTAGAGCACGTGCTGGCAACGTTTGCCCTCGCGCACTTCAAATCCCTTCCAACAGGGGGCGGCGGTGAGCCACACGCCCCGACTCATGGCTGACACTGCCCCGCAGCTACTGCTAGGCCTGTGGATGGCTGGCAGGCTCACATGACAGCAGAGCCCCCCAGCCAGGGTGGCATGTGTCCTGTGGGCAGAACCTGCATGTGTGCCGCTTGGCAGCACCATTGGGGTACATAGAGAGAGGCGTGTGTGTATCTGGACGCCTCTCTGTGAGAACACTCAGCGGAATGCTGTTACCACTGGGAAGGCATCGTGAATGAGTCAGTGGAGGGAAACCCAAATGTCTCGCTTGGGACCCAGACTTTCTTTTTCTTCTGTGCCTAAGGGACCGATAGGGCCTCCATGGTCACGGCATTTGGGCGGCTGACCATCTGACAGGCGCGTTACTATTACAGCTGGAGAACTAAGGCACAGAGAGGCCGGAGGCGGAAAGGTCTTTCGGCGTGGCTCCCCTAGCAGCTGCTCATTGTCCTGTGACTTAGCATCACAGAAATGGACGGCGGGAAGGGACCTCAATGGATCCTCTAGGTCTAGTCTGTGCCCCTTCGCTCAGAGAGGAACAGGCAAAGTGAGAAATCCCCCCGCTTCCCCGACAGCTGTTTGTCCAACCGGTTTTCAAAACCCTCCGGCTACGTCTAGACTGGCATGATTTTCCGGAAATGCTTTTAATGGAAAAGTTTTCCGTTACAAGCAATTGCGCAAAAGAGCGTCTAGATTGGCAGGATGCTTTTCCACAAAAGCACTTTTTGCAGAAAAGCGTCCATGCCCATCTAGACGCGCTTTTGCGCAAAAAAGCCCCGATCGCCATTTTCGTGATCGGGGCTTTTTTGCACAAAACAAATCTGAGCTGTCTACACTGGCCCTTTTGCGCATAACGACTTTTGCCCGAATAGGAGCAGCATAGAATTTCCGCAAGAAGCACTGATTTCTTACATGAGATCGTCAGTGTTCTTGCGGAAATTCAAGCGGCCAGTGTAGACAGCTGGCAAGTTTTTCCGCAAAAGCAACTGCTTTTGTGGAAAAACTTGCCAGTCTAGACACAGGCTC